CACATTCATACATACACATACTAGGGCCAATATGACCTACCAGCATGTCTTTGGAGTGTGGGAGGAAACCGGAGAACCCCGGAGAAAACTCACTCGGGCACAAGGAGAACATGCAATCTCCAGGCTGGTGGTGCCGTGGTTGAGATTAGATCCGAGAACCCTAGTATTGCCTGGTGGAAGTGCTAACCGTTTAGCCACTGTGCTGCTCCAGTTAATGCTTTTTCCTTGTATATTCAGGCACTGGTGACATAATCAAATACTCATAGATGTCCCCCTGGGAACATCGGCTACATTACCAGTGTCTTCTAGGAAGGCTGTGTCTATACACAGCAAGATAAATATTTATGCAGAATCTAAGGGGAAACGTTTTTTGTTGGTTTGTCCATTTAATTGATGCCTCCTACCACTGTTTGGGTGATGAGTTATAACTCTGGGAAGTAAAGGGAGAGCATTGAAGATGCTTTCCAAATGTCCTTTCCAAATGTCACCAGGAAAAGAGTATCGAAGATTAAAGAAAAAAAAAGAAAAGAATTCAAGGAAACAAAAGCCTAAAACAAACACTAATTAGAGTAGACTTTTTATTGTCTTTATTTTTGATCGTCTGGATGAAGGCCTGCTATAAGGAATCAGGTATTCAATTTTCAAGTGTAATATGTAAAGTGTGTTGCAAGGAGCAAAAAAGATATAGCCTGAACTGACCCACATGTTGACTGAGTGAAACATCATGAAAAGAAAGAAACAGTCTGTTCTCAAAGCAGCCTGGAAATCCTATACATGCAATGTATAAATTTACCAACCAAGTGTCAACTTTTTTTCCTGTCAACAATTTACCCTGATTTTACAATCCTGGTATGTGCTTAACGGGTGCAATTTACCCCAGTGTGTTGGAAAAAGTGTGCTTTTAAATGCAGTTCACTTTTGGTGTGCTTTACTTGCATTGTGTTTAAAGAAAACAGAAGATCTCCTTAATTCAGCAGGTGTTACAATTCATTTTTATGTAACAAATGCTTTCAAGGATAATGCGCGTCGAACGTAGGCATTTTAAGGTCATACTTTTTTCAAGAATTCATTTATTTTGGTATTGGTAAGAACTAATGTTATATGAACAGAACTGCAGGTGTGCCTACTTGAAGTTTTTAGGTTTCTTTTGAAGGACTGGAACTTGTAGAACACAGGGAAGTTCTTCCTATGTATTTGTTCCTCCTTCATGTTAGTGATTATGTATGTGGCCACCATTTTGGTTGATTTTAGCTAAAGGGTTAAAGTGTAGCAATCCCTTCTGGATGATCAATGTACATTGTAAGAATTTTAAAGTGATTGTAAAGCTACATTTTTTTAAAATAACAAATCTGTTATACTTAGCTGCTCTGTGCAGTGGTTTTGCACAGAGTGGCCCTGAACCTTCTTTACTCAGGTCCCCCACTGGTGCTCTCTTTCTCCTCATCTCCGTGTGCCCCCATAGGAAGCCGCTTCATTCGGGAGCCCACCTACGGGCTCAATCCCGAGACGCACTGCCTGCGTGCATAGACACACAAAGCGTGGCTCGGACCTACCCCATGCTCTCTGCTCATGGAATTTGACTGGCAGCAGCCAATGACTCTTGCTTCTGCCTTTGTGATCATAAAGGGTGGAGAGAGCCACTGCAGACAGGCACAGAGCTGGTGTGAATAGGACACATTGGAAATAGTTTGACAGTTGTCCTTCCATTGATCTGCTCTTTACAGCTGGGCTAAAACACATCAACGCACTGGTGTGAATTGGCTCTTACTCTGCTAATGTATGCCCTCTACAGTACGAGTCTGCTGAGCCCTGATTGATGCTGTGCTGGTCAAAAACTAAATGGGGGGGGGGGGGGGGGGGGAGTTTCAAATTAAACAATAAGCAACAAAAAACTGTTTTCTATAGATGGCATCTGCATCCAAAGCTTTATTTTTTTTTTTTTTTTTTTTTTTTTTACTTTTAATGTAATACTAAGCTCTTTTTGTGGGTTTCTTAGTGAATGTAATCAATCAGCATACTAAATCCCACCCCCATAGTGTTTAGCAATAGGAGGAAGTAAAGGAGAAAGGAAGGGTGGGGAGTGTCATTTACCACAGTGTTATGCACCCACTTGTGTGCCTCCATAGTCATGTGGGCTGTACAGATAAGAAAAAGAAAGATATATGAAGAGCTTAGAAGAGAACTGAAACTGGAGCATGCTCAGTAGATGTCAACAGCTGGTCTGCACAATCTCGTGCTGCAGTGTGGACACGAGAGAAAATGGAAGGAAGAGTTGTAGGCAGGATAAACCAGGTATAAAACCCAAAAATATAAATGTTGCGCATCTCTGTGATCATGTAATCCATGCACCAAAATTCATCATATAATATCCTAATTTTAAACAATTCAACAAACTATTCCTTAAATCAGAAACCACATATCATATAGTGTCCACAGTCCATAAATTGTGTGTATCTTCCTTCATGAATTGTGCCGCTTTATTCTCTTCTGTGATAAACGTGCACCACCTTCTAAATAGTTGTAAACAAACACACAGTGTATCCACCACCATTCAATACTGCACTCACCTTCACTTTTTACCTGTCCTCTTACAGGTCAAAATCTCTTGTTTCCCTTTAATGGGGGTCCTTTAATCACCTCCTCTCCTCCTTCTAGACTCCCCTCAGTTGTAGTTCTTCATCTAGAGGTCACTCACGTCAAACCTTTTTCGGGTGACTGGCCTTTTAAAAGATGTACTCCGCGTCTTGTCCGGAAAGTGAAGTGGACAGGACGGGGTGCACATCTTTTGAAGGCCTAGTCAAGGAAAAGTTGGTTGAATTGATAAAACTGAGGATATTATTTGAGTTTTGGTGCACGGATTACATGATCGCATGGAGGTGCAACATTTTATATTTTTGGGTTTTTACAATTATTGTGGGAACACTTTGTTTGCAGCCACTCCCAGGTTAGAATTAATTATTTATATTTTATAATACAGTGGTTTATTTTATCACATATTTCACTTATATAGGTGGCACGGGATACACATATTTTTCATATAAACCAGGTATACTTCATCTTACGCAAAACCAATGCTTCAGTGGCTTTGTGAGTGTGCACACTGTGCTGCTCACTGTAGCACGTTGTTCCTCAGCCTACAATCAAAAATGTAAAAAAATCTAAACTAGTAGTTTAACAGTGCAGCAGAATCCAAGCACGTAGGACACCCAACGTTCAAGGTGATTTTTATCTTTAACCGGAAATAAACCTTTGCACACTGGTACGGACTAGTTTTCCATTTTTTCTCCTCTCCCTCAGTTTTTCCCCCTCTCTTGGCTAAAGTGACCCCGAGTGCTGATGGAGAGGGGCAGGGGAGGGGTAAACAAGGACGCTGTACAGGCACCCAAGTTGCTCCTTTATCATCCGATGACATCATTGGTTGCTAGGACACCAGGGGCTAGAAGGTTGTAATGGTGAACAATGAAAACCTGTGGCTTTGTGTAACTAAAGGTCAGGCTTGAACCACCTGGTGGCTTGTATACAATTTTTAGGCATTTTGCCAAACCAACCGTGAAGAAACCTGAAGGCACCCTGGTTGAAAAAGGCCGCTCTAGCATGTACTGAGATTTTTTTTCATAGACTGGGTTTGACACGTTAAGATTTAGTGGAGTTGGTGTGACTTGTTTGGATCTACCCACAACTGGTCTTGTGATCATATGACACGCATCATCCATCTCACAGTCGCACTAAAGCACAATATTGAAACGGGGGCTATATTACTTAAAACGACTACCAACAGATATAACTGCAGTAGCCAGTTTGGTGGTTAACATTTGGTTTATAATTAATTGGTTTAAGTGTAAAGACTGAAGAAATTAAATGTTCAAACACAGTTGATTCCCCACTGGCAATAGATTTAACTTGTCGGTGTCCAATAAATACCTGCTTTGGCTGGGATAATCCTTTTAATGTTTTTAAACTGTGACCAAAGATGCATTTTCTCAAATGTGTTTGAAGATAAATGGGAAAATAAATCTGTCTTGTCAGGGAGAAGTCTTGCAGAGATTTGTTGTCGTTTTAGAGCCTTTATGTGCTATTTTATGTTGCCTGCTGTTTGTGAGCATTGTCTTATATTTTATTAAAGCCCAATTGAACTTTTAGTTTGGAACAGCTAAATACATTCTAGATGCATCAAAAGAAAAAGCCGTGCAAAGTCTTCAACGGCCCATAGATTATGCAATTTTGCTTTCACCACGGGTGGAAGGAAAGAAAATTGCTCAGTTCCCCCATCAACACACTCAGTGTTTGGGGAATCCCTCTTGCAGTGCTATTGAGTTCTGCTGGTGTGGGTAGTCTTTTCCACTGGCTGGAAACAATGGACACTGCTGGAGTCTATAGCCTCCGGCAGTAATCACATGCAATAAATTACAACAGGCTGGTTGTACTGAAGTCCATCGATGGATAGACTTCAATGCAACCAGCCTGCCCATAGGTAGATCAAATTTTGGGCGGTGACTGCAGAACTGGCTGAAATGCAATCCACCTATGGCCAGCTTTAATGGTGCACAAAGAAGAGGCGGAGGAGCCTAGAGTACTAAGGGGATGGGAGCTCCAGAAGATGAGGTTCGGGACCACACCGTATAATACCATTGCACAGAGGTGGTATGTATAACTGTTTTATTGAAAAAAAAACCCCAAACAAACCCTCCTTTACAATGACTTTAAGTAGTGTACTTTTCAAAATGAAATAGTGACCTGCCCAGGCAGTTGAATAGCTAAGTATTAAGTGTGTGTGTTTTTTTTTTTTTTTGTTTCTTAGACTATGTAGTTATGTTTTTATTACTACTAACCTTTTCCATTGGGTTAGATGTTTGTCTTTGTCTTGTGATCTTGCTAGAATGGTTGCACCATCTGTGACTTGCTATTTAATAGTACCTAATTTATGTTGTGTTTACTGTGTACATTTTATCCGTGTTGTCTCCACATCTTCATCTTTCATTCTCTCTCCCGCTATCGTGCAGAGAGTTCGTCCAGGAAGGCAAAATCTGCTTGGGATGAGAGTAGGCACGAGACCTATGGTAAGATCTAGGTGCTAGTGTGGATCTTTGCCACCTGCACATGCATTGCTGTGTCTTTACCTGTGTGCATTTGCATGGCATTCTTTGTCTTGGAGTAAGGGACTGTGTGGCTTTGAGTTCTCCTGCTGTCGCTTTAAGGCATGCCCTTTTTTAATAATGCTTTTCTGTGGCGATCACATTCATAGCTTTACAAGCTGTCCACTGAAGTAATCTAAGACCTAAACAACTTAATTTTTTTGTTTTGTTTTTCTCTGGATTCTGCAACCATGACTAAATGCCAGTAGGTAACTTTGAAAATCATAATCTTAACAGTTTTACACTGATCAGCCATAAAATTATGAACACTCTCCATAACATTATGACCACCCACCTAATATTCGGCAGGCCCCCCCTGTTGCTGCCCAGCCAGTCAAGGCATGGACTCCAAAGTAACATCCACATGAATGGCAAGGCTCAAGGTTTCCGAGCAGAACATTGCCCAGACCATCATGTTGCCTCCGCCGGCTTGCCTTTTTCCCATATTATATCCTGGTACCATTTTTTTCCCCAGGTAAGCAATGATCACGCACACCGATCATTTACATGATGTAAAAGGAAAAGTTCTGATGCTCACATGTACATTGTAGTTGCTCTTGGTTGTGAATACTGGTCTGTCCTTTCTGTGGCTACGCAGCCTTATACATAAATTGATTAATGTCAGCACTGTTTATTCTAAAACCTTGCTATTGGAACCAGAATAAACGTTTTCAGCACTCTGCCCTACTGTAGCTCTTCTGTTGGTTTGGACTGCATGGGCCAGCCTTTGCTGCCTACATGCATCAATTAGCCTTGAACGCCCTTGACGCTGTCTTACTGGTAACTGGTTTTCCTTCCCTGGACCACTTTTGGTAGGTCCTGACCACTGAAGATCAGGAACATCTCATAAGAACTGCAGTTTTGTAGTTGCTCTGACCCAGTGGTACTCAACCTGTGGGACCTCAGGACACACATTTTGCCCTTGGCCATAAAGTCACGACCTAAAAAAGTTTGATTTCCGAAACATAATTTATTCCAGTAAACAAAACAAATGGCTTCTTTCCAAAATGGATAGTGCAGTAATCGCCCTCCTATCACCATCGCTTTCCTGTTTTTTTCACTCCTTACAAGAAAGGCTTTCCATCACCCAGCCACAACCCAGAAAACGTACCTAGTGGAGTCAATCCCTGGCATCCAGTGGCGCTTTTCTTCCCTCCTTCGCAGTTGGCTGGAAGGAAGTGTAATATGTAACTTCCTCCCAGCGATGCCGCGGATGAAGGAGGAATGAGCACGAGGGCCGTGGAACTGCTTTGTAAGTGAGTGCACTGTGTGCACGACCTTAATGGGACCAGCTGACTGCAATAATACAAATATTAAGGCCGGACGGCTGTAGTTGCAGTCCCGACCGTCCTAACATTTATATTAGTGCGACTGGCAGTTTTTATTAAGCTATGTTGTCAGGGCACTGGATGTTTTATTGGGGCATTAGAAAGGCCTGAGGGGCAATTTCCCTGCGGCCCAGTCTTCCCATGATCATGGCTGCTTGAGAAACATGGCTCTGACCAAGTCGTCTAGCCATTGTATTTTGCCCCTTGTCAAAAGCTGGCCATAATTTATATAATTTTTTTTCTTGAGAATTTTCCTTTAGATTTACACAAAACCATATAATATGACGTCAAACCTAAACAACACTTTCAGTTGTTTCCAATTAGATAGGTCCTTGCACTACATAGTTGAAGGTAAATCTAAAGGAAATTGGACAGAAAATTGTAGTGTATGGCCAACCAAAGTCCCTCAAATCCTTATGCATGCCCATTCTTTTTGCTTTCAGTACACCAAAATGTTCACTTGCTGACTGATATATCCCACCCAATTTCAGTTCTCTGTCATAAAGAGAAAATCAATATTATTCACTGTACCAGTCATGATGTTATGGCTGATTGGTGTATATTTATTTTGATCTGTTAAAGTTTACTTGATCTATGTAGCAATATGTTTGTTTGTTTGTCCTTCAATCATTTAGTAAACCAATGTGATTTAGAAACATTTCTGTTGCGTGGAGTCAGGTTTCATTCAGTTTACCTTAACTGAGTTTTTCTTTCATTTTTTTTTTTTTTTTTTCTTAACCTAAACTTGTTACAACCCAGGACAATTTACATTGAGAACACTATTTAGTCCCCGTATTTTGGGATCTAAGGCAGAATTGCTTTGATTCTGCCTGTAATCTCAAATCACACTGCCACAGTGGCAAAAACACACCACACGTGTTCAGGTGCCATTCATTTTCATGGCACCTAAACACGGTGTGGTTCTATCTCAATTGCCAAGCGAAAAATTTTGGCAAACCTTGTCACCCAAAAACAGCTCCTGCTCCTTTTTTGGGTGACAAGCTGTGAACAGGTCCTAAATCATGTTATAATGAAACGTTTCACCTCAGGTCAAGAATATTAGTAAATCAGAGATATAGTTCTCTTCTAAAGCTACATGTAAAATGTTTAAATAATTAACTTGTAAATGAGCATGTGCTTTCATAAAGGCTAATTTTTTTTCAACCCCAATTTCGAAAAAGTTGGGATTCTGTGTAAAATCTACATAGACAGAATGCACTGATTTGCAAATATCATAAACCCATACTTTATTCACAATAGAAAATGGAATACATAAAATGTTAAAACTGAGAAAATGTACCATTTTAAGAAAAAATAATGTAAGTTTGAAATTTATGACAGTAACATGTCTCAAAAATGGGACAGGGCAACAAAAAGCTGGCAAAGTACATCCCCAATTCCAATTTGGGAAAGGACCATGTTTACCACTGTTTATATGTAGATACATCTTATCAAACACTGGTGAACCTCTGCCCATCTTCACTTCAGAGGCACTTTGACTATAAGATGCCGTTTTTATACCATCATGTTACTGACCTGTTGCCAATTAACCTAATTAGCTGCAAAATGTTCTTCCAGCTCTTCCTTGTTAGTACTACTTACTTTGCTAAATTTTTGAGACCTGTTGCTGCTATCAATTTCAAGATTACTTTATTTTTATCCTAAAGATTAATTCCAGGAATCCAGCTCGTTTGTAAAAAGTGAACGCACACTATGAGTTAAGTCCAACGAGGTGCATGGCATCTCCTGGACTCATGTCTATTATGTACATCTGACAGGTATATAGTACTCCCAGCTGATATTTTAACTGTATTTCCAGGAGCTTTTCTGTGTGCCTCTCTCCTCTCAAATCCCGGAGTATCTCTCCGGCAGAGCAACTTTTTATAAAGTGGCTGAATTCCTGAAATTCAGCTTTAAAATGGTACTTTTTCCCTGTTTAATCATTTGGTATGTTTTTTTTTTTTTTTAATATGTATTGTGAATAAAATATGGATTTGAGATTTGCAAATAATTGCTTTCTGTTTTTATGTAGATTTTACACAGAGACCCCGCTTTTGTTGGAATTGGTGTTGTACATGCTGTGGCAAAAATTATTCCCCCTTACGTTTGCTGTTCGTGCCATGACTAAATGGGTCTGCACCGCAACCACATGCATTACACACGGTTGCAGCATGGTAATGTGGGTTTTACAGGGTTAAAACAGGTGTTGAGGAGGGGACATATACACTGCTCAAAAAAATTTAAAGGAACACTTTTTAATAGGAGTATAGCATCAAGTCAATAAAACCGGGATATTGATCTGGTCAGTTAAGTAGCAGAGGGGGTTGTTAATCAGTTTCAGCTGCTTTGGTGTTAATGAAATTAACAACAGGTGCACTGGAAGGGCAACAATGAGATGACCCCCAAAACAAGAATGGTTTTACAGGTGGAGGCCACTGACATTTTTTTCCCTACTCATCTTTTCTGACTGTTTTTCACTAGTTTTGCATTTGGCTAGGATCAGTGTCACTACTGGTAGCATGAGGAGATACCTGGACCCTACAGAGGTTGTACAGACAGTCCAACTCCTCCAGGATGTCGCATCAATACGTGCCATTGCCAGAAGTTTTGCTGTGTCTCCTCCTAGCACAGTCTCAAGAGCATGGAGGAGATTCTGGGAAACAGGCAGTTACTCTAGGAGAGCTGGATAGGGCCGTAGAAGGTCCTTAACCCATCAACAGGACAGGTGTATGCTACTTTGTGCAAGGAGGAACAGGATGATCACTACCAGAGGCCTACAAAATGACCTCCAGCAGGCTACTAGTGTAACAGTAACATCATTCAGCATGACCGTTTTGGTGGTGAGTCAGTGATGGTTTGGGAAAGCATATTCATGGAGGGACGCACAGATCTCTACAGGCTAGACAATAGCACCCTGACTTCCATTAGGTATCGGGATGAAATCCTTGGACCCATTGTCAGACCCTACGCTGGTGCAGTGGGTCCTGGGTTCCTCCTGGTGCACAACAATGCCCGGCCTCATGTGGCGAGAGTATGCAGGCAGTTCCTGGGGGATGAAGGAATTGATACCATTGAATGGCCCCCCACGCTCACCTGACCTAAATCCAATAGAACACCTCTGGGATATCATGTTTCGGTCCATTGGACGCCGCCAGGTTGCACCTCAGACTGTCCAGGAGCTCAGTGATGCCCTGGTCCAGGTATGGGAGGAAATACCCCAGGACAACATCCGTTGTCTCATTAGGAGCATGCCCTGACGTTGCCAGGCATGCATACAAGCATGTGGGGGACATACAGATACTGAGCACCATTTTGAGTTTCTGCAATGAAATTTCAGTAAAATGGACTAGCCTGTTGCATCATTTTTTTTTTTCACTTTGATTTTTGGGATGTCTTTGAATTCAGTCCTCTGTAGATTGATAATTTTCATTTCCATCAAAGGATGGGGCATCCTTACATTCCTAACACATTACCCAGTCCATATCAGTACAGATATCCAGCATGATATTTTTCCCCATTGAGATCTGATGTGTTTTCAAAGTGTTCCTTTAATTTTTTTGAGCAGTGTATCTTCAAATTTGACAGTCTTGGCCTGCA